ATATATATATATATATAAGAAAGGATCCGCTTACTCTTACTTCGTTTAATAACTCATGTTTTATATCAAATTTTAACGATTCAACCGTTGAATTTAAAGTTCTTAATGCATAAATCAAATCTGTAAATTTTTTAAAAATTTAAAAATCATTTGATACTTCATTTCATTAATTCAAATTGACGGATAATTATAAAATTATTTTATATATTGATTTGAATTAATGAAATGAAATATCAAATTGTTTTCAAATTTTTTAAAAATTTATAGATTTGATCTATGCATTAAGAACTTTAAATTCAACGGTTAGATCGTTGAAATTTTATGTAGAACATGAGTTATTGAACATAGTAAATTATTTCAGGAGTAAGTTGTTGGGGTTATTTTATGGTATTTGTTTAAAAAAATATTTTATGAGAATTATTTTTATAAAATTATTTTACACACAACTCTACAATAATGAGATATTGTCCGCTTTGAGCCTAAACCTTTACGATTTTGTTTTTGATCATCACCTAAAAGGCTTCTCAATCATTAAAGTATGTGTGTGTTTTATAAGTTGTTATTTCATTTCTTATTTTATCGGTGTGAGACTTGTTTGTATCTTAACATAAGTCTACCTAGATTGACTCCGTTCAATAACTTATGTTCTATATTAAATTTCAACGATCTAACCATTGAATTTAAAGTTTTTAATGCATAGATTAAATTTAAATTTTTATAAAAAATTTAAAAATCATTTGATACTTCATTTCATTAATTCAAATTGACGAATAATCATAAAATCATTTTACACATTGATTTGAATTAATCAAGTGAAGTATCAAATAATTTTTAAATTTGCAGATTTGATCTATACATTAAGAAATTTAAATTCAACGGTTGGATCGTTGAAATTTGATGTAAAACATGAGTTACAGAAATTTATAATTTTGTTGATGATTAAGTTTTATTAAAAAAATAATTAATTATTTTTTATGAGATATCTCTTTTCAATTATATTTTTATTTTTATCTATAAAATTTGAATTTGACACATTATTAAAAAAACGAGTTTAATTTCATTCCGAGTGACAATAATTTGTTGTTAAATGATATTATGATTTGACTATTGAAATAATAATTTCTGTTGTGGTTAAATATTTAATAATAGAATGAGATAAACATATTGTATTAAAAATGAATCCATGTGTCCATAAAATGAGGATTGATTTGGTAAGGAATGAGAATCCCGCACGATTGGGGCATGGTGGGAGTTATAAGTTGAAGTAACCTTTTTCATTAGGTGACATTCCACATTCTCTATCTCTGTCTGGTAGTTATTGTGTACGAATTGCAATCACAGTGCTACTCGATCCATTGCAAGTGTTAATGTCTAAACTTAAAAATCACCATTGACAACGACATAGCTCATTATTTAAGTAAATCAAACCATTATTCTCTTTAAGAATTCCGACAGTCGGCAAACCCCTTTTTATTTCTAAAATTCGAACTTGATATTATTGATTTAGTTAGAACAATTTCATATAAATTAATTTACTTGTACTCAATGATAATTAAATTAAACTCCCCTCTCTTCAAAAATAGAGGCCTCTTTTCTTGTATTAAAAATTATAATTTTATCTTTCTACAAATTTTAATGTATAACACCTTTTTATACTAACATTCCCTTATATATATATAGATATAAATATTACACTACCTTTCTTTAATAAATTCTAATATGTTACACTTTAATCATTTATCTTTTGATTTACATATTTAATAATTATTTTAAAAATTATTATGAATTATACTAAAATTAACTATACGTTTAAAAAAATATTTTTCATTATTATCCTTACAAAATATTTTTTAAGTTATATATCAAAATACAAATAATATATTTGTACAAGTAAAATAAAATCAAATACAAATTTTAAGATATTATTAAATGGATGCAGTGAATGTAATATTTTTAAAATATTTAAATAAAAAAAAATTCTGCAAGAACCATTTAAATGACAAAGCAACTAAAAATTAAAAATATTAACTTAACAAATATTTTTCTGCTAAAAAAATTACGTACATTTTTTATTTATAAAAAAGATAGATATATTAAGGCATCATTATGTTATTATATTATATATATATATATATGTTAATTTATATTATATATTGACAGTATATAAAAGTATATATATAATTTATTTTTTAATTCAATTATATATTTTTTCATTTTTTAATAAGTGAATGAATGACAAGCAATTAATATTTTAAAATATATTTTAATTAAAACTATATTTTTATAAATAATTAAATTAAAATTATTTTTAAAATATTATAATTATTATTTTCAAGTTAATATAATAGGAGAGTGATAATATATAGTACTTGTGTTTCTAATAAGGGATAAAAGTATAATTCAATTAATATTTTTACACATAAAGAATGAAAAGTTTAACGGTATTAAATTAAATAATTAAATTATATATTTTTTAATATAGTAATAAATGATAATATAATAATCTTATCTATAAGAAATGTAACATAATTTAATATATATATATATATATATATTTTTAATAATATATGTGTGCGTAGCATTTACTATTACTTTTCGAATAATATTTAAGATAAGATGGCATTCACATGTGAGAGAAACAGCTTTAGTCATTACAGAAGAAATGTAGTTATCAGCTAGAGTAAAGCGTTGTCTTTATTTATACATAATATATTATTATTATCATCTGTTTTCTTGCGATGATTTTACACGTGAAAACCAGAATGATGACCACTATTTTTTTATTAACATGGTGGCCATTATTTTACACATGTAATCATATAATACTATTGAATTTATTTATGATAAAAATAGGAGTGTTTGTGAATTTAATAAATATACATGTTGTTATTTTTTTAAAATTAACGTCGAAATAATTGATATTAAAAAAAGATAACTCATATATAGACACCTGAAGGTTGCTGCTTGCTAGTTTAGTTGGTTAAGTGAGGAGAAAATTTAAATAATGACATAAAGTTCAACCAGGCGTAACTTAAAAATGAAAAACTTATTGGAATAATCATAATATAACCTCTTCCATGCTTTAATATTATTAGCCTTTTATTCTCTAAATATGAAACCAATAAAGAAATTATAATTGCATGCTTATTATTTAACTAACATATATTAATATGAGGATGATTAATTTTCTTTACAAATGGGGAGTTGGAATAGAAGAATCCAATTATCATTAGCTAGCCTAGTTCTACATGACGTGGTGGTTGGCATGCTAGTTTAGAAATTGGATGTAAACTTTTTGTAATTTTTTTCCTCTACACATTTAAATTATGAATAATATAATTTTAATATAACAAACAAGTAAATTGGCTTAATGATTTTTGTATTGGAGTATGGGGTTGGGTGTTCACCCCATCCAAATATATATACTAATTTATATTTGTATTCTTGAAGAACAAAATCATATATATCCAATTACGATGCCAACTTTTGTTAAATAAGAACCCATCTTTTGACATACTCTTCGATTCTTTTCTTATGTATATTGATTAATTAACGAGTATGTAGGAAATAAGTGAATAAATGTGAAAAAATAAAAATAAAAATTGAAGGGTATATGCAAAATTGATAAAAAACTTGAGCCATACGTTTAGAATTATGCGCATCAAGTATCAATGCCTTTTTCTTGTCCCTCATCATATCAATGAATTACACACATCAACATCCGAAAGCACCACTTTAAAAAGATCATGATAAAGGAAATCTTCTCATCCTGCTAAATCTATTTCTAATTATGGCTCTATATATTAAATAACTAAGATATTAATACAAGTTTCATACTTTTACTAAACAAGATGTCACATTAATATGTAAACAGTTTTAAAACAATTATTTTATCGTATATAAACTGCACTCCTAAAGTTGTTAATTTAAGCACATATGTGAAAAGATTGGTGTAAAGTTATTTTTAATTTAATTAATTTTTTAAATAATTATATTGTTTGTAATTGTCTCTCACTCTATCTGAATAAAAGTGTTTCTATTAAAGAATATATAGTCTCTAAAAATATTGTTATTAATAATATAATATAACTATTTATAATAAATGAAAATTTGATACTTTACTTTTTTGAATATCTTTTGAAACATTTTCTAAATAATTACTTAAAGTCTTAAAGGAAACGTTGCTAAAGAAGTTTTCTTTTTTGGTAAGCATTTGTAGACATCTTAGACGCAATCTCCATATTTTTGTGAAAACGAGATGATGATTGATGATGAACGTATGTTTATATCATTATCCCCTAATCCCGAGGATACTCTTTTTTTGGCCCACAATATCTACGTTCATCCACTCCACATCTTCATCTAAAGAAACCAAACAATTACTTGTCTCA